CTCAGGGCCCACCGGGTGGGAATTGAGCATCCACCCCCCTGCTCGAGGAAAACCTCGCTCCCTGAGGCACCAGTTTTGCACACCCTGGAGTCGCTTTGCCGCTCTGGATTGTTGTACAACCTTTGTGCTGCCTTGTATCGGGAGCTTGCAGCATAATGCTTTTCTCGTAGAACAATCTTAATTAGTACTGGGACTGGCTGGATTGTGCTGGATTGTAGTTCCGCATCAGTTGGTAATTAATTACAAGCACTGCTGCCGATTCCTGCAGCAGCAAGCGAAAAAGAGCTTGCAAATCATTCTTCCGATGCAAATGAAATCCAATGCTCACAATGATTTGATGCAGCCACCAACTCCGATTCTACCCAATGGCCCGGAGGCACATCGCATGACTCGAGGTGCAGACAGCAAACGTGCAGGGGCTCAATCCCCGGGGGTGTCATGGCAAGACGCAGGCCCGGTCGGGATCCGGGGAGTGGATGGAGTCGCCAGTCCCGATGCATGGTGAGGAGCTCGCTGCTCAATTGCAGGGCCACTGCCAGATTGCTGGTGGCAGGTATTCTGAGTCTCCTGTCGAACTCGAGACTCGAGCCTTCAATCGTATGTCCAGCGACGGCTCAGGTTCCAACTTGCCGGTGAACTCAGTGTTGTGGTGTGTGGCTGTCAAGCTGCCAGTCAAGCTTCCAGGCTTCAGATGGGTTTAAGGTTAGGGTGTGCCCTCCCTGAACTTTAGCCTATACCAACAAAAAACGGAGCAGTAGCTAACACCTCCAATGCTGGCAAGTGTTCGACTGACACAGGTGTCCGACTTTGCACCATTGGAGGTGTTAGCCACTGCTCCGTCTTTTTGTTGGTGTAGGCTAAAGTTCAGGGCAGGGAAAACCCTAATTTAACTCTTCTGAAGTGCAGCCTGCAAGCTTGGATGGTTGGAAGACAGTGGACAACTCTTTCATCTGGATGACACCGGCTGCTGTGAACAGAGAATCCAGCTTACCGGATTGGATGATGTACAACATTGGCGACAACAGCGATCAAGAAATGCAGGAGCTGAAGGCATACTTCTGCCAGAGCACTGAAATCGGGAATGGCGAGAACATCGACTCACCGGATCCCGCCGGGCCGCGACTTTTGCAAAAGAAATCCTAACCAAGATGCCATTGGAGATAATTAATTACTGATTAGCCCTTGTCGGGTCAACTCAACATGTACCGTGTGGCAGCTACACATGGGGTCATTGGGTTCGCCCTGTGACTAGGGTGGGTTTAGCTTAGTGGTTAGAGCGCTGGCTCAAGTCACTTACGCGGCAGCTGAACCGCGAGGGAAAAGCCGAGATGAAGCTCCAAAGGGCTTTCTTGCATGTCGGCCTCCAATCGATTGTGCCAAGATTGTGCCAAATCGTAGAGCAAGCTAGTACTGCATGTGCCTCGCTTCGCATGCTGGCTGGATTGTGCCAAATTGTAGTACAAGCTTAGTACTGGATGTACCTCGCTTCGCATGCTGGCTGGATTGTGCCACATCGTAGTACAAGCTTAGTACTGGATGTGCCTCGCTTCGCATGCTGGCTGGATTGTGCCACATCGTAGTACAAGCTTAGTACTGGATGTGCCTCGCTTCGCATGCTGGCTGGATTGTGCCACAATCGTAGTACAAGCTTAGTACTGGATGTTCCTCGCTTCGCATGCTGGCTGGATTGTGCCACATCGTAGTACAAGCTTAGTACTGGATGTGCCTCGCTTCGCATGCTGGCTGGATTGTGCCACATCGTAGTACAAGCTTAGTACTGGATGTGCCTCGCTTCGCATGCTGGCTGGATTGTCCCAAATCGTAGTACAAGCTTAGTACTGGATGTGCCTCGCTTCGCATGCTGGCTGGATTGTGCCACATCGTAGTACAAGCTTAGTACTGGATGTGCCTCGCTTCGCATGCTGGCTGGATTGTGCCAAATCGTAGTACAAGCTTAGTACTGGATGTGCCTCGCTTCGCATGCTGGCTGGATTGTGCCACATCGTAGTACAAGCTTAGTACTGGATGTGCCTCGCTTCGCATGCTGGCTGGATTGTGCCAAATCGTAGTACAAGCTTAGTACTGGATGTGCCTCGCTTCGCATGCTGGCTGGATTGTGCCAAATCGTAGTACAAGCTTAGTACTGGATGTGCCTGATGTGCCTCGCTTCGCATGCTGGCTGGATTGTGCCAAATCGTAGTACAAGCTTAGTACTGGATGTGCCTCGTTTCGCATGCTGGCTGGATTGTGCCAAATCGTAGTACAAGCTTAGTACTGGATGTGCCTCGCTTCGCATGCTGGCTGGATTGTGCCAAATCGTAGTACAAGCTTAGTACTGGATGTGCCTCGCTTCGCATGCTGGCTGGATTGTGCCAAATCGTAGTACAAGCTTAGTACTGGATGTGCCTCGCTTCGCATGCTGGCTGGATTGTGCCAAATCGTAGTACAAGCTTAGTACTGGATGTGCCTCGCTTCGCATGCTGGCTGGATTGTGCCACATCGTAGTACAAGCTTAGTACTGGATGTGCCTCGCTTCGCATGCTGGCTGGATTGTGCCAAATCGTAGTACAAGCTTAGTACTGGATGTGCCTCGCTTCGCATGCTGGCTGGATTGTGCCACATCGTAGTACAAGCTTAGTACTGGATGTGCCTCGCTTCGCATGCTGGCTGGATTGTGCCAAATCGTAGTACAAGCTTAGTACTGGATGTGCCTCGCTTCGCATGCTGGCTGGATTGTGCCAAATCGTAGTACAAGCTTAGTACTGGATGTGCCTCGTTTCGCATGCTGGCTGAATTGTGCTAAGCTGGCTGGATTGTGCCAAATCGACGCAATTAATTAATTAATTAATTGGGTTGAAAGCTTAGGTAAGCCAGCTGCTGACAGCCATGAACAGCCAGACAGCGGCTCTCCAGGCACACAGCCAGAAACTTCCAATCTTTCAACAAGACAGACAGACATCAGCCAGGTAGTGGCAGACAGGTTGGCCACGCAGACGGATGTCTTGACAGACATCCAGGCAGAACAGCTCAAACCACCAAAACCCAACTCGACCCTGGCACCTGCGAAGGAAGAGCTGCACATGGTGGGCAAGGCAGTCATCTGTGCTGAGAGACGCCAGGCGGGGGGAATCACAGCCAAGGGAACGAGCTGGGGATAATCAGCGGGAAAGAAGACCCTGTTGAGCTTGACTCTAGTCCGACTTTGTGCGATGACTTAATTAATTAATTACCACTAATTAATAAACCATGAGCAGGACACCTGGATGGCGTTCTCCGCCGACGTCGGCCGCCACAGTGAGCAGGCTGAGACAGGCAGAGAGAAGAGACAGGTGTGGCTGCAGGCAGCACTTGCCAGAGCCAGACAGGCAGGTCCGCCCTTCAGCTGGGCACTTTTGTGCTGCTGCGCAGACTAATGTCTGCCAGACAGACAGATAGGCATGCCAGGTAGCTAGTTCGCAGACCCCTTAACCTTAAACCCTAGTTTCTAAGACAGACAGGCAGTACAAACCCGCAGTGCACACAGGCAGCCTATCTGCAAGATCTATATAGCGAGGTAGGCTAGGCCAGCCAAGCTCGCAAAGACAGCAGCTGCACACAGGCAGACAGACAGCTGCCCAAAAAGACCGACGACTCAGCCAGCCAGCCTAAACCCTAAACCCCCTAAACCTTCCCCTTAATGATTTTCAGGGTTTAAAGGGCGGTGCTACTTCCGGGTGGATCGGGGGAAAAGTGTTTTTATAATTAGGGGGTCCTTTAATAAAAGGGGGAGGGGATTATAGGATTTAGCGAAGAGGGAGCGGCCTTTTGGGTGCCAGGGGTTTCGGACTTGAGGTTTTTTTTCTTAGGGAGTTGGATTTTTGGGGGTTTTAGCATCCAGGGTTTAGGGTCTGAGCGTTGAGCGTGTTTGGCGGTTTCAAGAGCTTCAGGGTTTTCGTGGTTTTTGGATTTGGGGCTTTAGAGGTTGTTTAGGGTTTCGGGGCTTGAGGGTTCAGGGGTTCAGGATTTGAGGTATATGGTGAAGTAGGGTTTACCCCTAAACCCCAAACCGATGGGTGGGAGTGGGACTTTAAAAGAGCTGCTACAGCTCTTGTCTTGAGGACATTTCCAGCAGTTGACGAGGGACTTTAATTGCAGGTTGAGGGAATACGGGAGTTTTCGAAAATTAGAGGGTACCTTATTTCGGGTTCCTTATAATGAGGATCCTACTATTTAGGATACTATATTGGGTTCCCCCCAGTTTCGGAAGCTCTATATACAAAGGTCCGACCCCTTGTATGGCTTTGTGGGTTGTAGGAGAACCTTACGCGTTTCAGAAGTGTTGTCAACCGGTGTGCCACCGGCTTTAATGTGCTCGATACGATACGGAATATTCCTGACGTTTGTCTTTTTGGCTTCTTGCTATTTCAGGACTTTGCCGCAGGGGGTTCCTTACATATATGGACTGAATTACTGGTAACAGTATCCAACCAATAGCCCGTAATGTGACTTTACAGTGCAATCTACTCCAAAGACCCGGTTTCCCATTAAGGCACGTACATTAGACTGTTGTTGGGCTCTCCGGGGACTATATGATCTGAGCCTATGGTGCGGCTGGTTCCATCCGGCAGACATCCACATCGCACGTCGAGCCGAAGGGCTTCGAGTATGAGTTCATGGACTTATTCTACACTATACTGCAAGGACAAATCTGATCATCACTACCTCTACATGTTGTTTTTTTCACTCTTGCGTTCCGGGTTCTGTGCAGAGGATTCAGGGCTAGAGCCCCCTCAACCGCAAACCCAAAGCTCTCATCCCGATGCTACCAGAGCCTCAAAAGCAATGAAGTTCTTAGTTGCGGCATAGAGAGCCCTGGACGGCACCCGACGGAATTGAGCCTAACCCTAACTCCCAAACCGGGCTTTTGGTTTTTGGGTATCCAATACGCTTGCCTTATGGTCGTATGTTCAACTATATGTTATTGAACCAGAACCCAGCTTAAATGCCGGGTTGCTGCGGAGGATCAATCCGGAAAGGGCAAGGTCACAGCTGCCGTCTGCGCGCATCTTGATTGCAACTCTTTTGGCATGCTTAAACTTACCTTTGGTTAGCATGGAATGAAGGAATGGGGTACAAGTATAATAACTACTATTACTCCCATTCTTCCATTCCCTAATTGCTAACCAAAGGTAAGTAAATGCGCGATTTGGGCTTCGGGGTGTTCGGCTCTATGGTTTCGGCACTGCATTTGTCCTCAAACTCGGGTGCCTTTTCGGACCCCGAGTGCAAAAGAGCGGTTCTTAAAGAAACAATACCTATAGTAGTCGAGTAGGTAACCTTTATCCTCTTTTGGGTAGTATATAGGCCCTATACAATCCCTATATTCCCAAAAAGGTTAACCTTTGGTTCCCATGATACCCGACAAGTAGGAATACGACGAAGTCGGAACTTCCACATTCTTGAAGAACATACAATCCCTATATTCCCAAAAAGGTTAACCTTTGGTTCCCATGATACCCGACAAGTAGGAATACGACGAAGTCGGAACTTCCACATTCTTGAAGAACATGCTTTGTGTAGGTCATAGAATGGGTTGCTTGTGTCCGCGGGCTATGGAGAAAATAAGAAGAACATACGGTAGAGGTCGACAAACAGTAAAATGTACCCGTATAACCCGTGTCATATATATATATATACATCGATATGGATATCAGCATGAGTATAAATGTAAACAACGATACTCGAATGTACCCACAAGTCCTGTTCTCATGATCAATGTGTTCTATTAATTAACCCTCAACCGCAAGAGACTGAGGCCCCCTCCAGCTCCCCTTAATATGCGAGGCTTCCTCGAATGTCTTGAGGACCACATGACCCGAAAAAGTAGAGCCTGCACCCTCATGTTATGGATCCCTGCATTACGGCAATTGAGCCTCGAAATTCTTTTAGGTACATTTCGTCCGCAAAGCAAATCCCTCAACCCTTAACCAGGTCGCCAGCAGTCGTGTTCGGCACACATGGCCTGCTCCCAGAGAAGTCGACGCCGGGCACTCAGCTCGCTCTCCGTGGCTTTACTATGGGGGCCTTAACAATTAGAGCAGGGTTTGGGGGCATACTGTACTGTAGTTAAACTAAGGAACCCCCAAAACAGCATAGGTAATTATTAAGGCCCCCAGATTAGGGGTTGCAGTTCAGGTTTTGGGGTGCTTGGACGGGGTTTAGGTGGCAAGTTGCTAGGCGTTGTTCAGCCTCCTTACTTAATTTTGGTGATTGATACCTAAAAAAGACCTAAAGTCCTTAGGAGCTGCCCCCACCCTGTAATAGTGGTATAATAGGAATATAATAGGGCCCTAATATAATCCTATATAGTCCTTATGGTGACTATTACAGGGTGGGGGCAGCTTCTAATAAAGTCCTAAAATAAGGAGTACTTGGACCCTCTGAGACTGTGACATGGTCTTAGCTTTGGGCCACAGGTTTTGGAATGCCTTCATATAGAGTTCTGAACAGTTGACGATGTTTTTCCTGAGGATGCCCTACCGCCAGTAAATTTTCATATACCCACAAACCCTCTTCTCAAAATTAACCCTCATATTTGTATTGGAGGTGCTGGTCCTCTTGCTTTTTCGTAGGCTCAATTCGTCCAAAGCGGGGGGGACTGACTAAATATAGTAAAGGTACAGCTGATTCAGAGAAATGAAGGAACAGCATTACTAACTATTCAGGTCCCTGCGTTATTTCATTCGTTGTGTTCTCCCTCTCTCTCTCTCTCGCTCTCTCCCTCGCCTTGGTTTCGTCTGGTGTGCTTGGTGCCCTCTGTCTCTCTCTCCCGCTCCCTCTCCCTCTTTGTCTCTGTCTCTCCCTCTCTCTCTCTTTGTCTCTCTCTTTCTCTCTCTCTCTCTCTCTCTCTCTCTCTCTTTCTCTCTTGGTTTCTCTTTCTTTCACCTCCGAAGCCGAAAGCTTAACTTCAAAACTGCGGATCACTTTTGGAGACAAGCGTCCCCGGGAGGGCTACATGGTAGCTAGAAGTAACCCTGATCCGTTGCATTGCCTTGAATTACGTACCAAACCCAACTGTTCAATCGATCTGAGGGATTTGGAGTTCGGGCTTATGACTTGCAGGGTTCGATTTGAGTAGAGTTTACAGTTCAAGGGTTTCGGTTAAGGGATTACAGAGTTTGGCGCTTAAGTTGTAAATCATAACACACAACATTGGCTTCAGCCCTTACCCATAGGCTCCATAATAGTTCCTTGTGGGATTACCTTAAAGGATGCCAATATGAACCACAAAAAACTACTACGGAGCCTATGGGTAAGTTGAAAAGCATAACACCCAACATGTGCTTCAGCCCCCAAAGCCCAAGTGCCTCCCTGGATCCTCTTCTTATTGCTGTTGCAACAAAGCTTACGTACTCGCTATCTGCGATGATCACGGTTATCAGCATTACCCTAAGACCCTAACCCCTAAAACCCTAAACCCTAAACCGTTTATTCCTGGTTCCTGCTGTTAGTAATCCTTGCTGCTTATACTGCTTCCCTAAGCCGTAAAGCCCCCTCTTAATTATGTTCCTGGTTCTTACGTTCTTATGGAGCTTGTTATGGTCATAGTTATTGTTCGTAGTCCTTCCCGCTTTTAATTGTAGGATTGGGCAGTCATCAAAAAGGAGCTCAAAAAACACGTTCTGACAGTCATAATTAGTTGTTGTAACTAACCATTGCTACTTGTAGTTGCCCTAAACCTTAAACCCCAGAAACGCAAACCCCTAAACCCTAAACCCCTAAATGCCCTAAGCCCTAAATCCCATACCTCTAAACCCTAAAACCCTAAACCCCTAAACCTCACGACAGGTGCTATCCGAAGTTCAAGGATGTGGTCGGAGCCGGCTGGCAGGACGCACAAGCCGTCAGCGGCCCAAGCGCTACCCACTTGAAGGATCGTGGGACTTAGTAACTAAGGTCCTTAAAGGGGTCTATCAGGGCTCTATAGTTTGAGGGCACTTAAAGGACCATGGGACTTGGTAACTAGGGTTATGTATGAGGTAAGTGTACTTATGATTGCTTCGGCTACTTTTCACCTTACCACCAAGTCCCTGATCCCCAAGTAGGTCGGGCCCCTTTTCTCTTTTTGTCGCCTTAGGCTCCTTCTAAAAACTACCCAATACCAAACGGGGGGTCCTGTTTGAACCTGGGTTGCGAGAGATCCTCGTTACGCAGAGCCGCGCTCAATAGATTCTGCTTGTACGGCTGATGATATAAATCCTAGGGTTCCCTAAAAGGGATTTATAGGTGTACCTTGAAGGGCTTGCTTTCAGGGATCCTTAGGGTTTAGGGTTTAATTTAGGGTTGATGATATAGATCCGGCAAAAACTCAATGACTCAATGACCCTGGATGTATGGGAGTTATGGTATATTCCTTATTATGGGTAATGCAGGATTTATATCAACCGTAGGGGTGGGAGTAGGGATCCTGGTGTTGATGCCTTGCAAAGGGGTTTAGGGTTCAGTAGTCAAGCGTTTACATGCTGTACCAACAGAGATGAAGAGTGGCTACGGTCGTAGACGTCAGCCTTTTCGAGGACAAACTTCCCGGGTCGTCAACTAAGAGAACCCCGTATGATACCCGTACGACACCCAACCGAGTCCCTGAACATGCTGGGCTTTCTTATCACGAGAGCTCCCATCAGCCGCGAGAAACCATGCAAACTCCAGGAATAAGATCCTCGATTCATTAGGGTTTAGGGTTTCGGCTTTGTAAGGATTTGTTTAGGGAGGCCTTTCGCGCTGCAGCTTAGTCCGCGCGCGCTTTGGCGCCAACTCAGAAGGCTTCTGCAATGCCTGCTTCACCAGCATATATCTCCAATCAGGATCTTTTGGGGCGGTGTGTTCATAAGGGTTCAGGGTTTAGGAGTCAGCGGTGCTGGATGACCACATCGTCCTCCCCAAACCCATTGAACAAGCCTTTTCAGGCCCGAATTACAAGAGACTTCCCAAAAACCCTTACAGCGCCTAAAAGAAGAAAATGGTTTAAGGCCGCTGCAAAAGAAGAACAGACCGGCAGTCGAAGGAAACCCACATACCCCTCCTAAAAACCTTTAAAAAGGCACATTTTTCAGAATACAAAACCCTCTATCTCCCCTTACAACCCCCTATCTCCCCTTACAACCCTTAAAAGGCACTTCTGCATCAGAACAAAAAAACTTCAATATCTCCTACTAAAACACCGAAAAGACACCTTTTGATCAGAACCAGAAGCCCTCTAAACCTAAACCCTAAACCCTAAACCCTAGCGGTTTTGGAGGCTGGACTGGGCCTGAGCCCTTCACCCGCAACCTTTAGCAAAGCTGATGGACGGCCCCTAACCCTATACCCTAAACCCCTACCTAAAACTCTAACCCATAAACCCTAAACCCCTACCTAAACCCTAACCCCTAAATCCTAAACCCCCCGAAGCCCCTACCTAACCCTTATAACCCCTAAATCCTAAGCCCCTAAATCCTACACTAAGCTCCTAAACCCGAAACCCCCTAACTTTTACCGAAGGTGATGGACGGCCACATCATCACGAGCCAGGGCCCTGGCACTTCGATCCAGTTCGCACTGCACCTTGGCAGCGGATGGTGGTGCTGGTTTAGGGTTTCGGGTTTAGGAGTTTAGGGTGTATAAGGGTTTAGGGCTTTGGGGTTTAGGATTCAGGGTTTCGGGGTTAGGAGTTTAGAGCGTAGGGTTTGCAGGGTTTAGGGGTTTCGGATTTACGGGTTAGGGTTTAGGTAGGGGTTTAGGGTTTAGGGCTGTATTACCCCCGTGTTTAGGACTAGATAGAAGAATATGACGCGGAAGTCAGATCAGAGGCTCGAGGGTTATGGGGCCTTTGGGGGTTTAGGGCTTTAGGGTTTTTGGTCTTAGGGTTTAAGGCTTTAGGCTTTCAGGGCTTGGGGGTATTAGGGGTTCAAGGGTTTGCGATTTAGGGTTTAGGTGATTCAATAAGTGGGATAGCCGCTATGGCCCTACAGCACCATGGCAGTCATATAGGTCAGTGTCTTGGGGAGTAGGTGATTTTTCGGTCCAGGGGCCCTTGCAATCTAGGTATATGGTCCGACTATGTGTATACTCTAGACTCCCCTCGCCCGCTTAAGCTTGTTCTAACTATTTCTACGGGCCCCATACGACAGTTTGTTGGCTCCACACAGCCGAAAGAGCTGGCTAGCCTTCGGACGAGTTGTGGGAATACTTTCATATGTGGAAGAGTCTGCACGTCTTTTCAGTGACTGCTTCCAGACACAACTTGCAGAAGCCTGTAGCATCTTGAGATGCACAAAGTCTAGATAGACATATGCATAAAACTGTCTTTACATACATACACGTGCATGCATCCGCATGTGTATGTGCGTAGATATATACACATGCACACGATGCACACATACATACACATACCACACCTCTATGTTACTATGTTTCTTTGTTGTATTCATACATGCCTTACTTGTTAGTTGCTCAAAGCTCGGAAAGCCTAGTTCGGACTACACCGCCAGAAACCAACAGGAAGATCGGCGAGAAGCTTTGTGGCAAGGACAAAGCTGTCGAGGTCGCCAAGGCCAGGGACCTATTACAAAGGGGCTTAGGGATTCTGGGAAGTGCAAATTACATTTGTTGTAAGGGTTTCCTTTGACAGCAAGAGCATAGTGCTACCCCAAGTCCACAACCCTATTCTGTCTATGAAGGCCCGTGTTATGAGTTTCGGGTGGTACGGTCTAGGAGTTGGTGTTCAGGGTTTGGAAGCTATGCTTCAGGGTTCAGGAGAAAAGTTCAGGGAACCCAGTGCTTTGGGTTGACACATGCTTTTTGCTTTCAAGTATGGGCTCGGCGCCCTGGCCCCTGAACTCCTAGGCCAACAGACTGGTACCAGGAATGGTTGGATGGATGGATGGATGGATGGATTGATGATGCATGGCCGGCCTGTTGGACGGACGGCTGGACGGATGCACGGATGGACGGACGAAAGGAGGGATGGAAGGATGGATGGATGTAAGACCGACCGACCGACGGGACGAACGAACTCCGAATGCACGAGCGACAGAGCCAACAAAGGAACGAAACAGCCTGCCCCTAAACCTGAAGCGCTAAACCCTAAACTGGGCCCTGAAAAGGCGCAAGGCTCTGGTTTCGGTCTCTTTGTTTCGAACCCCCTGCTTTATTGTAATTTCCGACCGCGATAAGACGGATCTCGAATTGCCGGGACTTCAGAAATCGTTTGACGGTGGCCCTGCCACGTAAATTCTCCAGCTCATCTCAAAACCCTACCTCAGATCCGAATCTTTCAACTCCATACTCTGAACCCATGACCCCTACATCCTAAACCACACCATGTACAAATCGTATACATCATGACACGTATATGAATTCAAGTTATTTGCTCATAGACGCTTGAACCCTACCCTCGAAGCCTCAAGCCTAAACAGGGCATGCTGGTGGACTATGTCGTTTGATCCTGCGGCCTCGGTTTAGGATTTAAAATGTAGGGTTTAGGGTGTGCCAAACGAAAGCACACCTTTTGATCTCTCGGTCTTCTCGTCGTTCCTTCTGCTTAGGAATGCAGCTTGCAGTTCACGGTCAAGTGTTTAGGGTCTGGTTGTTCAAGAGCAAAAGAACGCATTGCAGAAGTCACATCGGCCATCCTATTTTCAGCCTGATGACTAGAAGGAGGATGACATTGTTTGGACTGAGAATTTTGAGGGGCGGTCAGCGGGTCAGAAGCGGCTGAGCATATCCTTGCACCTGAGGGCTCGTGTTGCCAAAGCACTGGGGTTTTCATCAGAACAACACAGTATCGCTTATGCAGGCGAAGCCCAGCAGTTGGAGATAAACAGACCAGCTCATAAAGAAGCCTGAGTCATTACCCATATTTTTCCTCAGGGCTTCCTATCCTCAGAAAACTAGAATATTCACCATCGTCAGAAAACTAAACTATACACCAACTAGGATGCCCAGTAGTACCCTTGTTCCCTTTTTCTAGTCCTAGGTTCCTTATAAAGTTACCCAATACCAAAAAGAGAGGCCTGTTTATTCTTAGGTTACTGGGTATCCTAGCCAAGAAATTCCAACTCTCAAGGTCCCTACGGTTGATGATATAAATCCTGCATTACCTTAAGGGCCCTAAACTATAGGAATAAGGGTATATTCCTTATTATGGGTAATGCAGGATTTATATCATCAACAGTATTTTAGAGCCTTGAGCAGAGTGCTACTCGCCAGATGGCGGTAGCCCTTCTCCCCGAATCCCGAGGCGACACCTAGTCTTTGTCATAGTTGGGTAACATTTTACATACTTATGGGTACTTAAACCCAATGAGGATTAAACATGTACTTTGTAAATCCTATCCCAACAATGATCTAGTAGTTCTTGGTGTCAGGAAGTCTAGGGAGACGTCACTTAGGGTCCCTGTAATGAGGACCGTACCGTCTAGGGCCGAATCAAGTCTCTGTTTCCTCAAAAACCGCATTCTTCATGTCAGTGCCTAAGCGCAAAGAAGGCGAGAAGACTGGTAGGTTTCTCTTAGTGGGACAGCCCGTCACAGACTCGACGATTCGTTGTAGAGCCAGAGAAAAGCAGCAGGCACAAGCCAGAGAACTCTTCTTCCCTTAGGCGTACTTAGAAATAATTTTTGGTTATTATAACCCCTAAGAAACAGCTAAAATTCTAATTTTTGCTAGGGTTCTAAGTTCAGTATAGTTCCGGGAAAGCTCTAGCATTGCGTTTCTAGGTCTTTCAGCTTTTTGTGCCTTCGGTTCTTGGGTTTAGGGTTGCAAGTTACGGGTTCTATATTCGGGGAAGGGGCGGGTTGTCAAGCGACTCTATCAGTGTTCTGGGGTGGACTATGGTGTAGTTTAAACCTTCTAAAAGCCCCTTGTAGCAACCCTTATATAAACCCAAACAGGTAGGGCCTAATGTAGTAGACCCCAAAATAAGGTCCCCCGAATTTTCGGAAACTCCCATGTAAACCCAGACAGATAGAGCAGGAGTGTTTGAAGGCCGGGGGCCGGTCTCCCGCGGAGCCCAAAGACTATAAGCGGCCTTCACCTTCATAACCAGGGACGGTTTAGGTTGGTTGGTTGGTTTAGGGTTTAGGGTTTAGGGTTTGGGGTCTTAAAGGTGCACTTGGTGGGGTTAGGGGGTTGTGTAGGTGTTCATTTAAGGGTTACTTAGGTCCTTTAACGGTTCCTCTAAAGCCTCCTTTCTTTTGGGGGCTCTGCGGGGGCTTTTGGGGTTTAGGAAAGACTTCAGGGCCAAGAGGATCCACAAAAATCTAAGATAATGGAATTGCGTACTCGTGGTTATTTAGGTTATGTTAGAGGGTAGTTTGGGGGGTCCTGGAAGGTCCCTCAAAAACCATGATGAGAGTGGTCTTTTTGTCGAACCCAAATCCATCATGGCAGTATGGTTGGACCCTGGACCCTAAGCCCCTAAACGCCACTAAACGCCTAAACCCTAAACCCCTAAACCCTAAACGCCCCTAAACCCTAAACCCCTAAACCCTGAAGCCTAAACGCCCCTAAACCCTAAACCCCGAAGCCTAAACCTCTGGGCAATTTTATCCGAGCCCTGAGGATTCCTCTGCTAGGTTGTCTAAGGGTCTAGAGTCTAGGGAGGGTTACTATAAGGGCTATTGTGAGGGTTGAAGACTGGGGGCCCGCATATTTAGAGCCGGGCTTTAGATTTCGGAGTGTATTGAATGTGTGTGTGTGTGCGCTAATGATGCAAACCCCAAAAATTCGGAACCAAACAATCGGAATAGTCCTTAAACCAGAATCTCAATTTAGTCTGATCTTTGGCATAGGGTTTCGACATTCAGTCGGTTGCACACTGGGAGACCCTGTAAGCCCAAAGCCTTCAGCCCTGAACCCCACATCCCCATCCCCAACCCAAGACCCTAAACACCAAGTCCTAAATCCTAAAAGCAAGCAGCCCCAACCCAAAATCCTAAACCCTAAATCCTGAATCCCAAACCCAAACTCTACCCCCAAAATAAATCACCAACCCCAAACCCTAAACCCGTCTTCCCTGTTTTCTGCTTTGCCGCCCAAGGCCCGGATTTCGCCACGCCGCCTTGCAGGGAGCGGCTGCGGCTTCCTGCACCAAGGCGTCGGGGGCCTTTCTCAAAGTCGTTTATATACAGTAAACCCCATAAAGTTGGAAACTGGATTAAGGCCAAATAGTGTTGGGATTCCTTATACATTCCTCTTAAGGATGGAGGCTCTGGGGTTCCCACCTTTTGGGCTTCTACTCTAGGAGGTTCGGGGTTGATTTAAGGATGGGGGGTTAGGGGATCTAGGGTTCCTTCTTGGAGGGGCAGGGGACTTAATTTGTAAGTAGGTCCTAAGTGGAGTTATGTAGTATATTAGTTATAGTATATTATAGGAAATGAGTGTATATTATAGTGGATTGTCGTAGGGTACACGTAGAGCTATAAGTACCCTAATTTTTTTAATGGAGTTACCCCAATTATAACCCTACTTGCCAATGACTTACTAAGCCCCCGGGCCATCCAAGCAGGACCCCTGTAAGCACATAAGCACTTTACAGGGATATTGGGGCTTCATTATAAGGAAGTTTATATGGGATATCCCTGTCCCTAATGTTTTGCACAAAAGAAACCCTAAACCCTAGGCCGTTTTGGGGCCTCAGAAGGTAGGGCACTGGTCAGGGCTCCGTTAAGGCATCCTTGTAGGGCTCTCTCAAGGAATCCTTCAAGGGCTCCTTTGGGGCACTCCTTGAAAGACTCTTTTAAACAATCCTTTAAGGGCTCGTTTAAGGAATCCTTGAAGGAATCATTTAAGGGCTCGTTTAAGGGTTCTGTAAGGCTTTCGGGATTAGGGTCTCTACCTCGAAATGTGGGATGACGGTAGGTCGGATTAAGAATCCCTTGTGTATGGACCCTTCTTGGGGATACCCCACATACCTGGATCCCACCCTTGGTGCTCTTTGAGGTGTAAAGCAAGCCCATTTATGAAAGATAGAGTTGGGAATGATTTAGGGTTGAGGGCTGTAATTTTAGTGTTGAGAGATGTAAGTAGGATCGAGAGCTTTAGGGTTCAAGGCGTTGGGAATTTGGATTTAAAGATCTCAGGCCTATTCAAACTCTAATTACTCTTGGGTTCAGGCTCTAGGGCTGCGGGCCATAAAGCTAGGAACTGACCCTAGTGGTACAGCTGATGGACAGTTTAAGGGTTCAGCATTTGCTCAGGGGTTCTAAGAGGGTACTTCAACGTGTGAATACAGAAAAATTCGCAGCAGTTCGGAATAGGGATTTGGCTTGCGGGTGCAATGATGTAATGCATCTTCTACTTCGGGGCTGCTGATGGGTAACATCATGCATTGCCTGCAGTTCCCTGTGAAGTAATTGGTAAGTAGTGGTGATAGTGGCAGTAGTAGTAGCAGCAGTAGCACGTCACATCCTAATCGGTTGCTCGAGGTTGTCAGTGCGCATTGCTTGGATGTCGGCGCCCGGACAGTCGGAGCTTGGAGGTCATGGAACTCCCGTGCAACATTCTTCGAGGTCGTCTCCTTGCCCTAAGGGTCCATGTACCCAAATAGTACATACTTTGAACCTTGGGCCCAATGTACCTATATAGGGACTACATTAAGGCCAATGTATGTACTATTTGGGTACATGGACCCTTAGGGTTGATGCCACAAGCAAGCAGGAGATCGGCTGCAGCCACGATGCCACATGTCGTCAAGCATCGGCGGGGGCCCGTTCAACAGCGGGCTGCAAAGCACATGCGTTCCACACGGCATGGGTCGTTCTGGTGCGGTGCCGGGGTTCAGCTTGCAACCGACAGAAGGCTCCGCATGCTTCCGGAAAGCAATGGCTGAGGTTCTACGCTTTTACAGCACGCAGAACGGCGGTGTTCCTATCTAGTGATTCTCCGCCGTATGAATTGTAGTAGCAGTGGTAATAGTAGTAGCAGAAGTAGTCGTAGTCGTCGTCGTAGAAGTCGTAGTAGTAGTAGTAGTAGTAGTAGTAGTAGTAGTAGTAGCAGCAGGAGTAGTAGTAGTAGTAGTAGTAGTAGTAGTAGTAGTAGTAGTAGTAGTAGTAGTAGTAGTAGTAGTAGTAGTAGTAGTAGTAGTAGTAGCAGTAGTAGTAGTAGCAGTAGCAGTAGGAGTAGTAGTAAGAGCAGGAGTAGGAGTAGGATAGGAGTAGGAGTAGGAGTAGTAGTAGTAGTAGTAGTAGTAGTAGTAGTAGTAGTAGTAGTAGTAGTAGTAGTAGTAGTAGTAGTAGTAGTAGTAGTAGTAGTAGTAGTAGTAGTAGTAGTAGTAGTAGTAGTAGTAGTAGTAGTAGTAGTAGTAGTAGTCGTAGTAGTAGTAGTAGTAGTAGTAGTAGTAGTAGTAGGAGTAGTAGTAGTAGTAGTAGTAGTAGTAGTAGTAGTAGTAGTAGTAGTAGTAGTAGTAGTAGTAGTAGTAGTAGTAAGTTAGTAGTAGCAACTA